CCCCAAAACCCCAAAACCCCGTGACTAAAAGTTCAAATGAAATTTTTAAAATTATAAAACATAAGTGCTATTAGTATTATAATTAAAAAATAAAATGGGAAAAACCAAAAATTTGAGGCAAAAATTGGGATCACTAATTAGATCCTTAGATTAATTTGGTCATCCTATAGCTTTTAAATACAAAAATAGTTCTTCATTTAAAACAACTTTTGGCGGCATTGTGACAATATTCATTCGATTAGCAATTCTAGCCTTTCTAATATCAGAGTTATTAAAGGTGATAGATAGAAAAATAACAATAACAAATTCTACCTAATTAAGAAATTAAGTTATAGATCAGAGAAAAGTAATCATGACTCAATAGGAATTTGATTTAGGTTTTTAAATTGATCTCCCTTACTTGCCTGTAGAACAAAATATTAACATAGATCAATATATAGAAGTAAGCATTATGCAAATCGAAGATAATATTGCTAATGGAACTTTCATTTGAAAAGAAAATGAATTACCTTAATCTAAATGTCAAACCGGAAGATTCAAAGGAGAGATAGCTCAGACGAAAACTTTTGATATAACCAACAAATTTAATTGCCCGACTAATTCCAAAATTGCATTTTAAGGATCATACTATACTGAATATGCCTAATTTCTTTAAGTTTAAGTAAAAAAATGTAATCAAACGAATCTTAAAGTTAAGAATAAAAATATAACTTGTGCCTCTTAAAAAGAAATGGACAATGTTTTAAACTACTTAACATTAAACATTCTAATGACAAATTAATATATTGATGCTAATGAAAAGTAAGGAAATCCAATTAAAACAGTCTTGAAGAATTTTTATGCAACAGCAAAGTCAGATCTTTCACTTCATTATGAACTAAGGATAGGAGAAAATTATCTTACTTAGAGCACTAATTCATTATCCAACTTGCTTGGTTAATAAAATTTGACATACTACACTATTAGAGATGATTCTATGCAAATAGGAGTTAATAATATGTCGGATAATCTGATAACCTGTCAGATACTTCTTGATGATGTGGTTACCTCGACTAAGTTAGAATTATTTACATTATCAGATGCTCTATCAAATACTGGAGGTATCATAGGAATTATCACAATCGTTGCTTAAGTATTAGTTTCAAATCTGCAGGAATACCTGTATTACCAATCAATGATTAAATAATAATTTTAAATCACCTCTGATTTACTTGTGAAATAGCACTAAAATGTAAGGATTGAATAAAACTAGGGTAATTAAGGACTACCATCCACTTTGAAAGACTAAAACATTTAAAAAGTAACTACACTTGAAAGCTTAATTAATGACTTAAAAAAATGAGTTCCTTTCAATTACTCTATACTTGTATTTTACTTCAGCAAGATAAAGTAATGCTTTTGTTAAAGGAAAAACGAATAAATACTGGCTTAAAGGATTTTTTTCAAATTAGCCAAAAAAAAGCTCGATGAAAAGTTTGAAGTTATTAGGATTTTAAAGAACCATCAAATGCTTAAATTCATAATATAAGTATCTCTTGCTAAATATCAGAGAAAACTCATGCCTTATTTCAAACAAAATCTAATTAGAATAAAAGATAAGGATAAAATTGATGACATCTAGAGTCAAACTAAAATTTAAGACAAACTTGTCAGAAAAACCTAAGGTATTACTAAATGATAATCAAATATGTACAATAATGAATAGCAGCTGATAACTTGGAATGATCTAGCTAAGGAATAAAAAACTACTACGAAATTATATTTAGCCTAGGTTATCCAAAATATGAATTAAAATGCTATTGATAAAAGAATATTGAAAAATCTTGATCAAAATGATTCTAATAAGTCAAATAGATAGATTATTAATAAAATAAGAGAAAAAACAATTCTTAAACTTGAAGAAAAATATAATGAGCAAAATATAGATAATGTTGGAAAAAGGAAAGATCATGAGAGATATCACACCGATTTTAAAGAAGAGGTTATATTTCAAAATTAAACATAGGAAAATTTTACAAGCAATAATTAGAATGATGCAACAATTATAAATTTGCAAGAGGATGATGTTGAAGATAGCAATATCTTTGATGAATTTATTGAAAAAGATTTTAATGTTTGATTGAATAAGGTTTAATCTGATTAGTATTTACAACTGCATTTTTAATAATGCTATTTAAGCTCATGTTTTAGCTGATTCATGGGGTTTTGGGGTTTTGGGGTTTTGGGG